TAGTGGAGCTCAGCAGACAGTTTAAGTTTCACTTTCAGTTTCACTCGTTCTGCCAAGAGCCTGCAGGAGTCATGGGCGGGGTGTGTGAGTGGGGGGCGGGGGCGCTCTGCCATGAGGAAGCTCGGCTTAAAGACACGTCCCAGAGGTGTTTCTGGTCCCCACCTGCTGTTTTGCTCCTTGGCATGGCTGCCTAAAAACGCTGCAGGATTTCTCAAACATGCATGCATGAATGAATGAATGAATGAATGAATGAATGAATGAATGAATGAATGAACGGGCATGTTTTTTTATGATTATAACAGTATAACATGATATAAAACTCAAAAAAGTTGATTTTACATGATATTGCCACTTTAAGTTTTTAGCTTTTAGCTAATGTTTTGATAATTTTTGCTTTTATTTACTGTTGTGCTACTTTTTAGCTTTTAGATAGCATTTTATCTTTAACATCACAGTTTCAGCTTCTTTTGCTGTTTTCAGCAAAGTCATTCAGCACCCAGCAGTCATGCTGCATTTTTTTGCAGAAAACACAATTTCTCTAGTTATGTTGATGTAAACAAAATCCGTACATGATCAGAATACGATGCTTCTATTTTGTGTTTCTAAAAACAGAAGTTTTGTTATTCAGCTGAAAGCCTGTTTTTCACCTTGTCAGGTAGCACCGCTTTGTGAGAAACAGCCTGTGTTGTATGACATGAGCCTTTTTTAACCTACATATATCCATTCATAGAGTCCTCAAAAAAGCAATAAATAAATAAAATAAACATTGTGTCTGTGACTAAACAAAAGTACCAAAGCAATGTGCTTACACTGGCATTTATTCCATGACCTGCTGCACTGTTGTTCCACCTTTTCCCAGCTTGTTTCCATGTTAGTTCTTCCTCATGTTGCTGGAGCTTTTTCAAAGAAATACTGAGATTATATAAATATGCCAATTACAGACTGATAGAACGACAGCGTTTTATGTTAGCGATCATTATCATCTTGTTTTCCTCCATCAGTCTCATCCTCTCAGTGAACTTCAGTTTCTCTGCTCTGTAGCCCCCAGATCTCTTATATTCTTGGCATTCTCATATTCCCRCTCTTTATCTCTCCGTTTTCCCAGGAGTTCCGATTAGCCTCCACACTTGCTCTATCTTTAGGCACTCCACTGGGATTTCAATTAATTTATGAATAAAAGTGCAATATCATCACAATATTCTGCACCTGTTTAATGAACTTCTTCCTTAATGAGGAATGACTTGACATGTAGCCACGCAGAGCTGGAGTTTTTAGTTTAGTGGACAGTCTGGGAACTTTTTGCAACTTGTGTCAATATCAACCCCAGGGTCTGACTTTATGCCTTATATTACGTGATTTTCGWGAACAACTACCTAGAAGTTATGCACTCTGCTCCATCATGTCACGTGAACTCATGCATTATTCCTCCTCCTCGTGTCTCTTGATCCATCTCCCTTCCTCTGTCTCACTCATGCTCCACTTTACCAGTTGTTTTTCCTGTTCTTTTCATGGTCATTTTGATGAAAAAGTAGCTTGCATTTATATTTGCATGCAAAAATGGAAGACTCCAGAGAGCTGTTCTTAATCTGGGGTATATGTTCATTAGGTGAAATGGATTGAATTCTCTGCTAAAACAAAGCTCTTAGCTGTTTTCTCTTCAAAAGAAATCATTTTGAGTGTTATTTTTTTATTTTCATAGGTGTGGGTTACTGAGTCTGTAACTGTTGCATTGTGCTAATACKTCCCTGTTCAGTGTGCGTTCTGACCTTCAGCTTAATGAGTTTATTTCCTTTGATCGGTGTTTTCTCATTATTATAACATATTCTGACAATAWATGTAAAGAATTCTGCCTTATATTTATTTGTCTTTTCGTGTCCCTTCCTCTCTCTTTATCTCAGTGCCAGCAGTACCGGGAGCAGGCTTCAGTGCTGGAGAACCAGCCAGCAGGGACTTTTGTGTTGCAAGTGCATGCAGTGGATGCAGATGAGGGAGCAAATGGAAAAGTCAAATATGGCCTAATGCACAGAGACAGCGCCATGCCCGCCTTCAGAATCCATCCAGATTCAGGTAGAGAAGTCATGGACTGTTGGGGGCTAAATAAAACTCAATTATACATAAAACACAGGGTACTCTGTAGATAAACTGGGCTGTATATTAATCGTAGCTGACATTTCTGGTAAGTATTTTAATAGAAAATGTTACACAAAAAAATAGATWTAAGATAAATAATTCACAGCGTTCAAATTAAACTAATAATTCACAAGGATCAAAAAGAAAAAAATAAGTAGGTCCTCTGGACGGGTTCTTCTTTAGTGAAACGTTTCGTCTCTCCTCCAAGAGACTTCTTCAGTCTGAGTTTCAGGTGAACTCAGCCTTATAAGCACCGCCTCCACATGGACAAACAGGTTAGTCATATGCAAAAGAGGACCATCGCCTAACAATAGGCTTGATTAGTTCTCTTGTTCATAGAGGGTCATGTGTCCCATCACCTGACCTGTGTCATGGTTATGTGTATGTGGTGAATGCAAGCGGGGGTTCAATGTCCCCATGATGGGGCACATGACCCACTATGAACAATAGAACTAATCAAGCCTATTGTTAGGCGATGGCCCTCTTTTGCATGTGACTAACCTGTTTGTCCATGTGGAGGCAGTGCTTATAAGGCTGAGTTCACCTGAAAYTCATCAGACTGAAGAAGTCTCTTGGAGGAGAGACGAAACGTTTCACTAAAGAAGAACCCATCCAGAGGACCTACTTATTATTTTCTTTTTGATTTGTTCTACCTGGATTACTGAGATGCATCAGGACAATTCACAAGGATATGAGCCAAAAACTTTAAACTTTCTAGCAATTCATTAAAACCAGACAGCTTGGTTTGTCTCTTCAGTAAAAGAAAATGATTGTAAATAAATCAGGGAAAGTCAAAGAGAGAAGCTGTTTTGAAATCGTAATACATTATTCTGTCACTCATTTTCGTTCAAGCTCTATCTTCTTCATCTCAGYATTTAATAACAAAGTCGCCGCACTTCAAAGGAATGCACAAATTACTCTGAATAAATTTATAATTGTTTGCTTGTCTTTATTTATGGATTGATGGATGGCTGGACTTAGTCGGGAGAAGTGGAAAAAAACTGCTGAATGGATGAGTGAATTCATGAGTGACCGTGTGTGTCTGTTGGGCGTGGGCCTTGATGATGCCTCTGACTTCTTACAGGAGTGATCGTGACAGCCAGGCGCTTCGACAGGGAGCGGCAGAGAGAGTATTCAATTACAGTAACGGCCACTGATTGGGCTGAGGAGCCGCTCATCGGCATCTGTCAGCTCGCTGTCCAGATATTGGATCAGAATGATAACAGCCCCAAGTTTGAGAATTTGCGCTACGAGTGTAAGTACAGTGTGCATATTTATGTGAGAGGCAAAATAAACTCAAGATGTAAACAGACAGAATGCAGAGGTGTTCCAGCTTAATTGATTTGATTTAGTAGATTAATTTAAAGAGTTTTTTTTTACTAAAATAAGATTTTACTTTTCTAGAAGATATTTACTTGCTWTAGAGTTTGAAAAAGTATTATTTTTTGCACATCATTCATTACTAAAGCATCTGTGTTTGCATCCTGTGAAACAGCAGCTAAAATGATTTTTTTAAACCCCCAAGCATCCTCACTAGGCCAACTTGGTTGGTCAATTGAGCAACCGGTTGGGTATAAATTGTGGAACACATCAAAGGTGTTTCAGGCAACMCAGGAGCTCTGTTGACTTCAACTTCACATCAGCCAATTTAGATCCCACCCTACACCTATGCCTTTATTTATTTAACGTTTACTCTAGGCCTTATAAAACATATATATGTACTTGTCGAACATCAGAGTGCACATAAACTGACTTTGTCTTTGCTGAAACCWAAAATTGCAAATGTAACCAAGATTATTAGTGGTTCTGTCACAATGACCCAGAGAAAAACTACTCGGAGCCCGAATGTCTACCATTGTTACGATAACATGTTCRTCTGTGGAGAGAATGTCTGTTTGTTATATAATTTTGAGTTCTGCCTTTGCCTTAGAGATAACCAGAGAAATATAAGGATGTTACTCTGAAAGAGATCCAGACTGTGCAAGCTGTGTTGTACCGTAATTATGATTAGAAAAGTTCCTCTTCAGCTGCCAATGCTTGCGTCTTCTTTTGTTAATATGAATTAAATAACTCMTCCTCTGTAGACTTCCTGAGAGAAGACACCTTGGTCGGTACCAGTTTCCTCCGTGTGGCGGCTCACGATGACGACTTCGGCACTAATGCTGCCATTGCTTACTCCATGTCGCTGGAGCAGCCCGAGTACCTTCGGGTCAACCCTGTCACTGGATGGGTCTATGTTAACCAACCCATATCTCAGGTTGGTTGCAGTTAATATCAGGCTCTTTGTTAGCCAGCACAAACACACACACACACACCCACACAMACCAACACACTCTCTCCCGCAGYATCAGACAGTAGCCTGTGGGTCTGTGTCAACAAAGTTAATGAACAAGCCACATCAAAGTGCCTCCGTCTGCAACTCCCAATCTGCTGTTTGTCTGCTCCCAGAGGTGCTGCATGTGGGAACTACCACAAAGACAAAAGATGGAAGAAAACAGATTTGAGCTAAACAAATGATTTATGGCACATTTCAACCATCTGAAAATCCTCTGGTTATGTTTGATTGCTGCGATGCAATTCTCAGTTTAAAAAAGGCTATAATTTAAAAACACATAATGATCCTAGCTGTAGTAGATGGCTATTACAATACATGACTCACATTTTAAAAAGCCAGTTATTATACTCAGCAGCCTTTACCCACTGTGATTACTCTTGTTTTTGATGTATTGTATTTAATTATTATCACCTGCAGCCAAAGGCAAGAAGGCCACAATGTTTTTGTCCCTCTCTGTGTGTGCATATGTGGGTTTTCATTTGTCTGTAGTGTTAGCAAAATAATTCATGTACTACTGCTGTAGCTACTTGTGTCTTATTGTTATAGCAAAACATCTCCTTAACAGCTGGATGAGTTTAATTGAATTCCTAGAAAGTCATCATTGGACATACGTACATCTAAAACTGAATAACTTTGGAGTCACTCCAATTCAAAATGGCTGCCACAGTCAACTGAAGAGACACAAAATGTCTCTAAGTTAGCCACTTTTAGTAATGTTGAGCGACAATTAGGTGTGGCAGTTGCTGATTCGCCACAAACACACACAATAAGACAAGGCTGTCAAACTCATTTTCACTAAGGACCAGTTGTAATTAACGCCACATTTCTCATCTCATTGCTACGGCTGAGAACTGCTAACAAACAATTACTGAGCTCTATGTGGTATTTCCTGCATAGAAGCAGCGTTTTAACATGTCCTCTTATAAACACTGGAAAATACTGTGTGTACGACTGACTAAAAATAAAATAAATAAAACAGAAATATTATTAAAGGTAAAAGTTTTACTCACTGTTGCATATTTATTTATTTATTTATTTATTTATTTATTTTGTTGGGAGTTTAATGCTTTTGATTTTCTTTTTACCATTATTTAACACCATCTGCTGTTTTGTAACGAAAACTGAAAGCATTTCTTCAGTTTTATTTTGAAAACTTCAGGATTAAAAGTAGCTGTAAAGACTGGGAGGCCGCCCTTCCCTTCCTCTTGTTTGTCCACTAACTCGTGAACACGACTCTGTCGGGGTCAGTGATGCAACGCATTCTGTTTACATTTTTTATTAGTATATTGTTGACTTTTTATGGCCTTATCACCACTCTTCTTGTTTTTTATTTATTTATTTATTTATTTTTGTTCTGCAGGTATTCAAAAAAAAAAAGCATTGTTCTTTGGGTAGACACTTACTTTAGGAGTGTAGGGTTGTTTATTATTTATAGTACTTTTCTGCACAATGGTATCGGAAGTCCACGGCAAAATTGACTATATAAATTCACCACGAACTTCATGCAAAATTGAAAGTGTTAAGCCCAAAAAGCTCGCCAACCAGTGCTGCTGCATATTTTAAGACTATTTCAGAAGCTGTTTGAATCATCCCACATTCTTTGTGCCTTTACTAAAATTAATAAATCACTTTATTAAATGTTAAATGTTGGCTCTCATCTGAGGCACTGCTCTGTTTTGATTAGTTTCATCAGTTCCCAGCCTATATGTTGTAGTCCCATGGAGGGGGAGAAAGCCCACTGAACAAAGGCAGGTATTTTTATGTCCTACTGTAAGACAGTGCAGCCAGAGCGGGACTCATGAAGTGTCAGAATATTGTACAGTAGCTACAGCCCCACAGCAAATTAAGTGGAAAAGAATGGAAAAGGGCTTGGCGTGACTGTATCCAGAGTYCTTCATGAATATGTTCTGGGTGAGATAAAAAACTATTACTGCAAATTTAATTTTAAACCTTTGTTGGATGGTTCTGCAAAGTCGGGCAGACACTCATTTAGTTCTGAAGGAAGCAGCTCCTGGGTCCACATTGGACAACCCAGATTGGAATCTTTGTTCTCTGGTTTTAAGTTTTACGAGCGTTGTTCACAAATACTAATTGAATGGTCCCAGAAATAGTAAATGTGAGTTTGAAGTTAAAKGACATTCCTTTAAGCACAATAATTTTGAATTTGCATTGAAAGTATAATGCGTGTAAGAATTAAATGTGACAGTTGATATTATTTAGATGATTTTTCATTATCAGRGTGAGATAACTACAGTATGTCTTAGTGGACACAATGAAATGAAAGATTGTGTTTGTAGGAAAAAAAAACTCCCTTCCATTTCCTCTCCTAGTTTGAATAAAATGATGTTTCTGTCTCATTTGAATATGCTCTCTCMAATACTCAAATGACCTCTTCTTTTCCCTGCAAAGTTTACTTCTAGAAAACACAGTTCAAGTCAAATTTGACTTTATTTYCACTAATTGATTCAATTTCACCACAGTTACAAAAGCAGACGTATTTCTGCAAGTACGGTAAATTAAAATATTTTGTAAGGCTCGTGCACGCTGCTACTTTTGCTGTTTTTGCCCTGAGAATTTCATTTTACTCAGTAGAGATTGTGAAGGTGCATGAGTTAACTGAAAATAATTTTGTCAGATTTATCAGGTACACTCAAATATTTAAAACAAGTTTATTTGTTTCTTAAGATCCCCATTAGCTGCAGTAAAACTACAGCTTTTCTTACTGGGGTCCAACAGAACCTACAATAAAAATAAAATTAACAAAAAAGAAAACAGAAAATAAACATTTCTTTTAGGCAAAACAAAACATTGTTTTCAATTATTATTTTCTAACAACACATTATATACAAATACTATATACACATACTCATCATATGTGCATTACCACACAACTTACACCAACACTATACACATTATTATATCATACAATATATCACTATACCAATATGTTTAATACATTCATATATTCATGCATTCACATATCAGCATATAAATACACATATACTTCAAAAAATTCACTTTTTATACAAATGTAGTTTTATCAGTATTTTAAATTTATTTATGTTAGTGGTGTGTTTAATATGTTAAGGCAATGAATTCAATTCAATCATACCTCTGTGCRTTTGAWGGCATTAGTTTCCTACAACTGCAAACCGTGTTGTATAATTATGACTCTCTATACTAAATTAGAGATTTTTATATAAATTAAAAGGTGATTTTAAAACAAGTCAAAAAGTTCTTGCAGCCCACGTTCAGTAGTCAACTTTTTTTATTTGAATTTTAATTTAWATTTTAATTGTAGTCAAATGGAATGATCTGACTCATTGAATCTGAAGTTTGCCCGTAACAAACTCCAGGAAGTTACGACTAAGTTACGAGTAATGCAAAAAAATAAAATAAAATAAAATAAATAAAAATTTTAAAAAAATTATAAAAGTTTTAATATTTCAAGAGTAAGATTTGTGTGGGAGATTTTCAGCAAAGTAATTGGTGCCACTTGAGAGTGTTAGAAGTGGTAAAAAAATTAAAAAAAATACAAAAACAAAGGCTCAGACTTTCAAAGTAAGCAGTAGGTTTGCCAGAGAACCAATGCTCAGTTTAAAACATGTTTCTCTGTGTGAAATGGCAAAGAAAGTGACCTGAAACAATTTTGCACTGTTAATGAACTTGAGCAGAACAACAGGAAGGTTTTTTGGGGCATGAGATCATCTGATTGGACAGAGTCTTGCACCAAATATTAAATTAAGAACTAGAGAAGTTCTTTTGAAAGTTGCAACATTATAATGTGTTTTATAATAGATTTTTTTCACCAGTTCATTAAGTAACATTGATATGTGTTTCTTCTGCTTTTGTTCGCAGAGGACCTATATCACACGAGACATTACAGCAACGGATGGAGGAAATCGCAGCACTTCTGTGGAGCTGGCAGTCACCATCACTAATGTGAAAAACCAGCCCCCACAGTGGGAAAAACAAAGTTACAACGTCGTCATACCTGAGAACACTGCCAGGGACACACCCATAGTGGTACGAGTGCTTGCCACCTCCCTTGTTGCTAAACCGTTTTTGTCAGAAACCACGCTGTTGTGTCTGATTTCCCTACTATTTGGAGTTGCTGTAATAGAATCAGTGGTTGTTTGCTCGCTGCCAAGATAAGTGCAGAGTATGAGTGTTATTTATGCCCGGTGTTCTCCCAGTGTTCAAAACACACTTTGAACATTTGTCAGTGCGGGGAGGAAAAGAAAGTGTAAACGTGTTACAATTTGATGCTGTCGGAGAAAACTGATGAAGAAACTCATGTGCAAAGCAAGTTTCACAACTCCGGGCAAATTAACTTTATTAGAAAGGTCTTTGATGTGAAAAGGAAAAGAGTCATAAATCTGAGGGAAGTTAAAAAGGGTCTTGTCAAAATGAGTTGCTTTGAGACAAGAGGTTATTTTAGGACTCAAAAACTGAGCTATTTTTCCTTTTAGACATTCACGCTGCAGGTTTTAATTCACAACTCCAAATTTTGCACAGATACACAAATGAAAGTGACCTGGGTCAGATTTTAAAAAATCAGATTTGTCACTTTTGCCTGCAGGGTGAATAACATTGGTTAATCGGGGAATAAATAAGTGATTAAAATGTGACVCGTCTTTTTTTTTTTCAAATTTCAAACTATAAATAAAATCAAATCCAGTTCTTGTAGCTCACCTGTTAAAGCATAATTCATATCCTTAAGATATTTGCTAAACTATTTATTTTCTTTCCTCACATGATTTCTAAGATATCTTAATTCATATCAGATGATTTTGGAGTTTACTGCTTTTTCGACTCAACTAAAACATTAGAAAACAGCTAAAAACAGGCTTTGTCCAAAGTTTGTAAAAAAAAAAAAGCCTAGCAGCAGTCCTGAAGCTCCCTAATTAACAAATTGTATCTCATTTGTTTTGCCAGATTAACTCTGTTACCAGCTTTTATGCTAAGCTAAGCTAATCGCCTCCGAGCTCTCGCTCACACAGAGATGAGAGCGCTGTCATTTGACTCTCGGCAAGAAAGCGAAAAAGCACATTTACCAAAAAAAATGTAATACTATTCCTTTAAGGGCAGAATAAATAACAGTTTTTAGCAGCTCAAAGCAGTTGAATGTGAAACTATAGCCGAGTAACAATTAACATGGCTGGAATAGGACTCAAAGCAGCCATCAGCTAGTCTGCCTCTAAAAAAATAGAATAAAATAAAATAAAAGTACAACCACTCACCTCAAGGTTTCTCAGTAACATTTTATTATTTGTTTCTTTTATGCACAGAAATTTAAATAATACTTTCAAAGACATATAAATCATACATTTTACACAAGCTTGTGCCATAACTTCTATTAAATCAATGTGTTTTAGCTTTTTTATATATATAATTACAAGCCAAGTTTCAGAGGCAAATATAAATGACACATATCAAAGATTCATTTCAACCAAAAAGGCACCTTGAAGAATCATTGTTGTTTATGTAAAGACTAAAATATTAATTGTACATATATTTTTAACAAACTCAATAAATGATAAATGATCCATCATTCATGGGTTCTAGCTAATGACTACTTTTCTGTAGGCCAGTATTTGTGTCCTCCACTGTCTTATTTTGAAAAGACTTCCTGTTTTTCCCCTATCTGGAAGTTATTGCTTCAAAGTCAGTCAACTCCATTTTTTAATAACCACTTCAGGTGCTCTTATTTATGCCCGTAGATTTATTTAATTGGTTTATTTATTCATATTTTTTGTTCTTTTTTATATTTAGCTCTTTTAAAATATGGTTCAATGTTTTTGACAAATTCTATACAGTACAAGTGTYGAAGTTTCTACGACTAATGCTTTGAAATTACCAAGCAACCACAAGGGTATTTAATGGACAGGCATAAAATTGCTATTGATTTTCTCCRTAAGCAAGAAAATAACCATGGTTTCCAAACTCATTCCTTAAATCGAGAACATGATGCGGTTTCACTCTGATCGAGACCATCARCATCAGGGTTTAAACTTTAACTTTTTAAACGTTCACATAATTGATCTCTTTGTCTTGTCCAGACAATCAAGGCAACCTCTCAGCTGGGTGACCCAAGAGTGACCTACAACCTTGAGGATGGGATGGTTCCTGAAACCAACATGCCAGTTCGTTTCTACCTCTCCCCGAACCGTGAAGACGGCTCTGCGTCCATCCTGGTGTCAGAGCCGCTGGATTACGAGACCACTTCTTTTTTCTCACTCCAGGTCCGGGCCCAGAATGTGGCTGCAGTGCCTCTTGCTGCATTCACAAGAGTATATGTTAATATTACAGGTATATTTTGTAATTCTTTGTTTACAGATATGTAACTCAAACTGATGAACATCCTTCTAATATTAGAAGGTACTATAATAGTTAAAAGCRTACACCTATGTTTGATCTTGTATAATTACTTTACTGGGAAGAAATGTCAAAATGTCATGATTRATTGTTTTAGAAAGTTAAGGCATCAGATACATATTTATACTTAGATTTTTGTTTATWCCTGTCATTTTGTTTTGGTACTGAATCTCAAGCTCAAAAACAAATCTATTTCTCTTTGTTTTGACAATCGCATCAGTCTTCTTGAAAGCATCCCTTGATAAACTAATTATTTTTTAGCTGTTTGCAATGTATAATCTGTTTCTGCACTGTGGGTTTTTTATTTCCTTAAAAAATAAATCCAACTTTTTAAATTTCCATTGTTACAGAGGCTAATATTCTGAATGAGTGATTATCTTTAGGACATTAACTTTGCTATTTTTGTAATTCAATCTTTCTTTTGTTTCGAGATGTCAATGACAACGTGCCATTTTTCACATCCTCAATTTACGAGGCTTCCGTAACAGAAGGGGCCCAGATTGGGACTTCAGTACTCCAAGTGTCTGCCCATGACAAAGACCTGGGACTTAATGGAGAGGTTTGTGTTGATCTGTTTGTGTTCATGTTGTAGAAGAAGAAAGAGATAAAAGGAAGTGACAAGGTTTTAGAAAAAAAAATCCTTTCAACTAAATCTTCATTGTGCAGTTTTCTTGKTAAACCATCCGTGCCACACCAGAAGGAGCGTTATGTAACACAACACCACACCACATCACAACACAATCCCTCCGGTGGGGGAGTTTTTGTTCCACTGTTGTCAAAGAATTGTCGAGGTAGTCTTGAAAGTTGCTGCTATAAGCTTTCTGAATGATTGGGACAATATTGGTGGAACAGACGGTATTGATTTGGTTTAATGAAGAAGCACACACCTCACATTTTCACATTCAGTTCCTTTAATTTCTGGTGTTTTTGCTGCTTGAAGGTGTGTCGTAGCTTCATTTTAAATTTACCTTTGCTCCCCAGATCACTTACTCTCTGCTTAGCGACAGCAGTGGTGACCACAATTTCTTTCGTATCGACCCAAAAGATGGGATCATCTTCACAGAGGCTGTGTTTGACCGGGAGGCCCGCAGCTCCTACCTGCTGGAAGTTCAGTCAGAAGACGGCCAAGAATCAGCACGACCTGGAAAAAACAAACAGCCCAACACTGGTTAGAAACTGGATGGATGGATGGATGGATGGATGGATGGATGGATGGAAGCTAGGCAGATGGATGGATGGATGGATGGATGGATGGATGGATGGATGGAAGCTAGGCAGATGGATGGATGGAAGCTAGGCAGATGGATAAATGGATGGATGGAAGCTAGGCAGATGGATAAATGGATGGATGGAAGCTAGGCAGATGGATAAATGGATGGATGGAAGCTAGGCAGATGGGTGGATGGAGAATGGATGGATGGATGGATGGATAGATGGATGGATAGACGGATGGATGGATGGATGGATGGAAGCTAGGCTGATGGGTGGATGGATGGATAGATGGGTGGATGGATGAAAGCTAGGCTGATGGATGGATGGATGGATGGATGAACACTAGGCTGATGGATGGTTGGATGGATGGATGGACGCTAGGCTGATGGAGGGATAGATGGATGGATGGAAGCTAGGCAGATGGATGGATGGATGGATGGGTGGATGGATGGACGCAAGGCTGATGGATGGATGGATGGATGGATGGATGGATGATGGATGAATGGATGGATGGATGAAAGCTAGGCTGATGGGTGGATGGATGGATGGATGGATGGATGGATGGATGGATGGATGGATGGATGGATGGATGGATGGATGGATGGATGGAATCTAGGCTGATGGATGGATGGATGGATGGATGGATGGATGGATGGTCAGATTTCTTGTGTCCTACAATAGATAGAGCTCATATTTAATGTGGTTTAGCTGAGAATCATACACTACACATACTTTAACTTTTCACAAGGCCTTTAATTTGACTTGGTGTAAAGATTCTTTTTCAATTTTTTTCTTTTTTATGTGACATAAATGTTTGAAGAAATCAGTGGATTTTTTAATAACATTAGTGTGCTCCAAGTGATGTTTTGGTACATGAGAAGTCACAACTCTTCCTGAGACRCTTGATGCATTTAGACGTGCCACCAGGCATTGTCCTGATAAATGTTTTGAACATGCTCTCCTTCCCTGTAACAGAAACCTAATAGAAGTTCTTATTTTCTGGACAAACACGTTCAATTGAAATATTTTAAAACCAAAAAAGTAGACTTTCAGCAAATTTCTTTTGAAGAAAAATCTCACCAAAAGCTATTTTTGAACACAGTGTGAGGGAAAAAACTCACAGATGCTGAACAGATGTTTTAGCTTGGCAAAAGACCGTTTTATTTTTGAAAGTTTTGTCTGGAGTTTCTGGAGTGTGTATGTGTGATACATTCCTGATTTGCATAAAGTGTGGAAATGTTAAGCAGTCAGTTCGAAATCTCATCGCTTAAAGTTCATTGCAGCACCACYAGAGTGCATGTCCTTTTAAATAGTCCGATAATTTGTCAGAGTCAGGCAACTTTGTGGCAATTCATTTGTATTTTACTAGTCCAAACATTCACTTCCAACATACTTCATTATGACTAATCAACCAACAAAAAGAAACAAAGACAGACAGATAACTAAATAAAAAGATTCTCAGTGATTAAAATTCAGGAGATCCTTATCTGCTTTATTCAAATGAGTTAGCAGAATCACTTTCAGCTGACCTCTGCTTTGGTGTAATGTTCATTCATATCAAACAACTTCATTGCCAAAAGTCCCTACGGAGGGAAATGCTAAAATACTATAACTCTGGACTGTGAGGAGTGCTGCCTCTGTGCCTTGAGTTTTAAATAGATTGCATTACATTCACACCTTGGGATTGGCTTTGAAAAAGGGAATCCTAATTCGATTTATYCCACTGCTATGACCAAACAGACTAACACTTTTACACGTGGAAACAGCTCAGAGGGTTGTTGGCATTCTCCGAATTTCATGTTGCAGTCCCCATTTTGTACCAGCTTTAATTTCTACTGATCAATATTTAACCTGTTCAGACTCTGTTTGTTTACAGTACTGCGRATGACATTTTGGCAGTCAAAAAGAAAAATCCCGGTCTGTGTGTRGCGTGATGTAATATGACATTTGTATTCAGAAGTAGGTCTTTTGGCTGTATTTGGGAAGCTGGTATTAGGTGTAGCAGGTGATGTTTTGGAGCAGTAAAGCCTTCTCTCCAGGGTTGCCAGGGCTGCTTAGCATTTACAATGAGTCTTAGCTGTGTATACATATCTTCCACATCCAGAAGGGCTCATCTGCACTGCAAACATTACCTGTCTCTCTCTGTCACCCTTGGGAAACAACAAAAGGAGGAGAGAAATGAAGAAAAAAAYCAAGTTAAGAAAAAAAAAGGGCCACATTCTACCATCATCATCTCTTACTGCCTCGGCTCCAAATTAACRTGTCACCAATGTGCTCTCGGAGTAGATAATTTACTCTTTCTAACTAAAGAAATAAAAGTTGTAMTGAAGAGGGCCCAGATAAGACACAAACACTTGTCATCCTATGAATTTTTAATCTTCCCAGCGGAAAGGTTCTGTATCTTTTCACTGCAGAAATATATGCAGCCGAAGAGGTTTATTTAGCTCTAATTTTGTTTATTTGTCACCCCTGACAAGACAGTTGTTTATATTAAAATGTCGTTACATATAACTTAGCATAATGACAAACCTAATTGTGTTAAGTTAAATGTCTGTTTCCATTTTAGCAGAAGTTAATTGTGGTGAAGTGAATAGCAGGCGTACAGATACAGTATTCCTGTGTGTTAATGAGCAAATTCTGTATGATCTGCTATTCTGTCATTCTTGCAGACACAGCATATGTGAGGGTTTTCATCAGCGACGTCAACGACAACAAGCCTGTCTTTGCTCAGCGACTGTATGAAGTCCATGTCGATGAGAATGCAGATGTGGGCTTGGCCATTGTTACCGTTAGTGCTAATGATGAGGATGAAGGTAAGCTCGATGAAGCCAGACTGATGGTTTTCCAGCAAAACTTTACTGATGTGGTTCCCTAGAACAAAAAGACGACGTTGCCAACATGAAAGTCGTTGTGAAGTTTTAGAAAGATTTGCAGATATATTTTATATTTAGCGACTCTCTTTGTTTTTGTTTTTTTWATTGAAATAAGCTAATTCTGGCTGTGTTTCAGTGAGTTGACTGCCAAAGAGAAAACACTTTTGCAGGATGGGTCTTCATTTTGTAGCAGTGTGCAAAAAGCCACCYTGGGGCAAGACTTTTCCAATCTGGCCTGTGCTCTGAGAAAACCATGTTGCTGAAATCAAGCGGTGTACTAGATTTAGTGGTCGTTTAAGTGCTTGGTAATGCACTGCAGCACATATGTTCCAAAAAGAGTGACATGCTCCCACACAGTAGGTGGGTGGGATTTAAGCAATAAAGCAKTTGCTCATCCTCCAGACTGCAGCCTAAGATCCTTTCATCGGGAATGTTTGGGTCCGTTAATCAAGCGTTTATGGAGAGCGGGGGTGCAGCTTAGGCTTGGGCCATGGCACTAATGATAAATAGCTGTGGAAGAACACCAGCCCCCAACATTAGAGTTACAATACTGTTTGCTCTTGTGCCAAAAAAGAGAGCCATGCTCAATCTGTCTTGTTGAGAAACTCCACCCAAGGTCTGACTGCTGTAAACATGCCAGCGCCCTGTGGGACACTGGGAGCACTTTGCCGTTAAGGGCTGTGTTAATACTACAGATTAGTGTATTAACATGGGATTGTAGCTACTTTAACCCAACAGGATGATTGAATGCATAGACTATGCATTCCAGAAGATTATCTGATCCATTCCAATRTTATAACATCAGATTGGATGGTCTCCATAGAGTCACAGCAGACAAGTTMACATCTTCCTTTTTAACTAACCTACATCCCCCAACCTCACCCAAGCCTCAACATAATTCCCTACAGGGCACTATCAGTGCATTATGCTGCCTTCCACTCATTACTTTTTCAGCACTCTTTCTTTAATTAGTATCTGATTAAAGCTGAGGAGACAAAGTTTCAATTTAATGAAGTAATCAAAACAAGAAAGAGTTAYGTGGAAATCTACTACTTCTCAAGTCCTGGAGGAAATGAGGTGTAATACCCGAGTGGTTGTACCCTTCTGTGTTTGCAGGAGTGCTACAACRTACAGATTAGAAAAGGTAAAACACTTTTTAGCACACTGACCGAGAGAAAATTAATAATGTAAAAAATGTAAACAGCAACTTACTRCAGATGTAAGTGTTTTCTGAATGTTTTGTTACAAGCATTTCAAATTATGCGCTTTCAATTGTTTCCACAGGTGCCAATGCCAAGCTGCGTTACCAGATAACGTCTGGCAACAAAGGCGGCGCTTTTGACATTGAACCGGAAGTGGGAACAATCTTTATTGCACAGTCGCTGGACTATGAGAAGCAAAAAAGGTACAAGCTCCTGGTTCTAGCYTCCGACGGCAAGTGGGAGGACTACGCTGCTGTTGTTGTCAACGTTGTTAATAAGAATGACGAGGCACCTGTGTTCTCCCTGAGCGAGTACTACGGATCAGTCACAGAGGAGCTTGATGGATCACCTGTGTTTGTGTTACAGGTGAGAGGCCGAGAGGCTTTGCGCAAAATTGTTTACACTGTGTAGTTTTCCGTAATTAGAATAATCCATATATTTGCAATTATCGTCCCTTTTTCTAATGAGCACCCTTCTAAACTTTGCTCTCAGTGTAGGTTTATGTGGCAGCTGAGTAATTATTACAATTTCCTTTTCTGGCGTGTTATTTCAGTTTATCTGCTGTTGGTGTTTTACCCTAGCTTGACGTATAATTTAATTCGTTTTAAGTTACAGCGGCAGCAAGGAAGAACCTTGTGTGTGTGGGGAGAGACTCTGCATTAAGTCTGCCACATCCACTCTCAGACCAGACGCATGAAAACATGTCTGATCAGAGCTCAGCGCTTTAATTAGGCTGGTCAGAAGAAGTGAAAAAACTTAAATGGGATGTCCAAAGCAACTTGCACATAGGTTGAAAAGAGCGAATAAGCATTATTTGCAGTTTTCTCAGAGTCTGGTCCTTTTCTGTCCAGGTGACGGCCACCGACCCGGACAAAGATGCGGACCAGGGCGCCATACGTTACTCCATCCACGGCCAAGGGGCGGAGACGCATTTCATGATCAACGACATCACGGGGGAGATGTACGCCCAGCGCACCATGGACCGAGAAGACCGCGCCGTTTGGCGATTCGTCGTAATGGCGACGGACGAAGAAGGCGAGGGACTCACTGGCTTTACGGACGTTATTATCAACGTGTGGGACATCAACGACAACGCCCCGACCTTCTTGTGCGCGCCTGATAACTGCCACAGTAACGTGGCCGAGAACTCGCCCCCCGGAACGATTGTTGTGGAAATGACAGCGGTCGATCTCGACGACGCAGCTGTAGGTCAAAACGCCATCCTCACGTACCGGATTACAGAGAATGCGCGCAATTTGAACAGCGCGGAGCTTTTCGCGATCGACTCCAGCACYGGCACCGTATCGGTGTCGGCGGAAGGTTTGGACCGGGAGCTCGCCGACAGCCACCAGGTGGTGGTAGAAGCCAGGGACGGTGGCGGCATGGTAGGCACGGCCACCGTCACTGTTGTGGTAACGGACATCAACGACCACGTACCGAAATTTAAAGAGGACTGGTGCAGCGCTCGTGTTCCTGAGAGCATGCGCGAGGATGCTCCTCTACTGGAGCTGAGTGCTGTGGATCCTGACGATGGCACGTACGGGCAGCTGGCGTTCAGCGTGGTRGCGGGGGATCCGGAGCAGCGGTTCTACATGGTCAGCAGCAGAATGGAGCAAAAAGGCACTTTGAGGCTGAAGAAGAAGCTGGACTTTGAGCAGCCCGAGGAGCGACGGTTTAACCTCACCGTCATGGTGGAAGACTCTGATTTTTCCAGTGTTATTCACTGTTTGATTCTGGTGGAGGATGAAAACGATAACGCCCCCSTGTTCACCCCGAGCTCTCACCTGCTCCCCCCTGTGCCCGAGGACGTAACTGTAGGAACCAGCATCGTTCAGGTGGAAGCAACGGACGCTGACTCGGGCCTGAACGGGGACCTGTTGTACAGCATCCTTTCTAACTCGGACCCTTTTGGACATTTYACCGTCAGCCGTGCCGGTGTCGTCACCGTCACCAAGCCACTGGATAGGGAGACGGTGGCGGGCTACGAGCTGGTTGTCATGGCGACAGACCGCGGCACACCACCGCTGACTGGCAGCGTCACGGTCCACTTGCCSCTGCTAGACATGAATGATAACAGCCCCGAGCTGGAGGCGGTCTACAGGCCTGTGCTGTGGGAGAACGGCCCCGCACCTCAAGTGGTCTGGCTGAACAGGAGCTCCACTCTGCTCCACGTTGTGGACAGAGACTCTCCAGAGCACGGGCCTCCTTTTGCTCTGTCTCTGCCGTCGGCTTTCTCCGCCGACTTCCACCTGCAGGATCACGGGAACGGCTCTGGCACRCTCACCACCCTGCGCAGGTTCGACAGGGAAAGGCAGAGCGAGTTTCACTTGCCAGTAATAATGATTGACAGCGGCGCTCCGCCGATAACGGCAACAAACACTCTCACCATCACTATTGGCGATCATAATGATAACGCCCATCAGGCAGGAGAGAAAGATGTCTATGTTCATAGCCACAAGGGTGAGTTTGCTTGCTTACCCATTTGTCATTCCTTGCTCCTTTTTTTTGTCACAGAGCTTTGCACTGCAGGCAGAGCTTGACTGAAGAGAAGGAAACTTAGGCTACAGCTGAAGGGAAACGTTATCAGTGCTGTATCTACTCAGTGTAGTTTTAAATTCATAATTTCTCTCTTATGTTTACACTCTGTGCACTGCAAAAAATGTCCACCTAACCAAGTTTTAAAACCTTATATCAGCCAAAAAGTCTTTTTGATCTTGTTTTGAGACTGATTTACTAAACAAGAACTGATTGTGTAAGAATAATAATCTTGTTTTCAGAATGTGTAAGATTATTTGTCTTGTTAGTCTGAAAATTTTACTCAAATTAATTCAAAAATTTCTGCCAATGGAGTAAGAAATTTTTACTTGGTAAGATTCTTGAAATACTTGATTAGACTCATTTTTTATTATTTCAAGAATCTTACCAAGTAAAATTGTGGCAGAAATTTTTGACTTAATTTGTGTCAAATTTTCTTTAAAAAAAAAACTTCACGAGTTCAGAGATTGAAGTCCGTCTGTCAGAGATCCAGAAAAGGAAATCTGTAATTTTTAGCAGGTCAGCTGTGGAATAAAAAGAGCTGCTAAAAGTATAAACAACTGTGTTAAATCATTTTCTTTTATTCAGAAGATACACCGTTGCGCACCGTAACCCCCCCGCCGCGCGATCTGTCGCAGGTGGTCTCAGATGCGGGTTTGAAATAAGCATTTTAAACTGTTTTCAAAATATGTCTGGCACTTTGGAGAAAACCCAGGACTCGCTGGAAGGGTTGTGTATCCCCTCTGGCCTGGGAACATCTCGGAGTCCCCCAGGACGAGCTGGAAAGTGTCGCTGGGGAGAGCGAAGTCTGGATCTCTCTGCTGCTGCCCCCCGACCTGATAGCGGATAAGCC